CTCCGTTCTTGGTTGCTAAGTGCGAGATCTGCAAAATGAAAATGGCCCAGCACCCATAACGGAGCATTGAAATATGATGATCACGGGACAGGCCAAGCAATCCGGCAAGGGCAGTGAATCGATCTATTAAAGCATCCCGTGTGCGTTTGCTGAATGGAACATTAACCTTGTGGGTTGGTCTGGCTAACCCGAAAAGGGAGTCTCGGTTGGGAGCGCGACTTAGTGGCCTCACAGAGTCACAAAGAAGACTGTCACATACTAGTTGGGCTGATGAACTCATGTGACATCCCACATCCACGTAACCTCAACCCAGGAAGCCAAGCATGGCGTTGCCTCTGTTCACCTCAAAGTGAGTGCAATGGCCCCCAAGGATACGTTGTGGCCAGTGAGAATTACAATCACCCAATTGCCAGCTGATTTTGAGGATCCGGTTCCTTGCAAAGATGGTCGTTGGCTGGCATCCGTGGAAACGAGGGTGCTGTTTTAAGAGTTGGTCCCCCCTTTTGGTGGTTTTTCAATGAAAACCACATGGGAAACCGAAGCCATGTCTTTTTCTTTTCATGTTTTTGTTTTCTTGTTTGGTTGTTTTTTTTGGGGGGGGGCGGGTGTCCAGCCTTTTTCTAAAGCTGAGCCCAAAACTGACCGCTCGTCCCAAAACCGGGGCCCCCCGGGCTTCGAGAGGTCGTCCTGCAGGCAGACCTGGATGAGCTCCGTGAGCAGCTGCTGGAACCTCAGCCGAAGCATTCGCTCGGCCGCAAGCATTCGCTCCGCTCGCGAGACCCGGATCTGAGAGAAGCCGCCGGCCCAGGCTTGCAAACAAAACAACAAGTGGTGATTCGATTAAGGGAACCGCCCCCAAGTTAAGTGGTGCTTTCTTGGGACCCGTGAACATGGTCACGAAAGAAAAGGGCCCGGCAAGTGAGCTTGCGCACAACATACCCGCCGTAGGTGAAAATTATCTATACCCCTGGAAACCATGCGAATTGCCTGAGAAAAGGGGTTCCCCTTATCGGATGACCTCTGCAATTTCATTGGGGGCAAATTCCGAAGTCTTGGTGGATCCAGATATGAAGCCAGTTCCCAGATTCTCCATGATGATTTGGCCTGGTTGACCATTCTAGCTGGATCAACTTGGAAGGACAAGTCTCTTTGAATTGGTCGCTCCCAAACAAACGATGCTTGACACCAGCCAAAGGGAAGGAATATGCGTGCGGCATCTTTTTGAAGGTGGTACTACTCTAAACAATCCACGCCTCATCCCATGCAAAGTCTCACAAGTCAAGGGACTTGTCCCGAAAACAGCGGGGCCAGCCATGGTCCGTACGTAATGCAAGTCAGACTTTAGAGCTATGCCAAATTCTGTGAGGGTGTGAGTTGAGGTTTTACCGGCGCAATCTGATATTGCACTGGCTAAACCTCGACTCACAGCCTCGCAAGATTGAGGACCGCCCCCAAAGCCAACACAAACCCGCGCCGCGAACTTGAGTCGTTGCACGCCGAGGCGCTTTCGGTTCGTCGTGGTCATGATCGCCTTGTCCTAGTCACTGGGCTTGCCTTTCGGAAAATGACTCTTCCTCACTACTCTGCAAATCAAAATGGAACCCGAAGGGGTCCACTTCCCAAAGGTCAGTGAACTCTCTACTCGGGGTGCCTTTTTTTTGTGGCCATCTGCGGAAAAGTAACCAGCAAATTCAAGCAGCCTGTCCTTTGAACGCAGGGCTGTGAAACCCGGTACGTGTTGCTCTCCCGGGGTCTGGCACTCACCCAAAATTTCCAGGCAACGTAATTATCCACTGTTTGGCCTTCCGCCTCAGCATCGCTCCCAAAGGAAACTCCTCCCCGCCCAACAAAAAACAACAACAAACAACTTGGCCTCCCGCAGGCTAACATGGAAGCTCCCAGGTCCATTTGCAGAGGCCTTCTGGGAGCTTCCGGGCTGTTCGTCTTAGGGAGTGTACCGGCAGATTCGATTCAGACATCGATCCGGACCATCCGAGCGTCCTTCTCCCTCGCCAGGGTGGCCAAGGCCTTGGAGAAACATCCCAGGCGAGGCCTTCGGGCCTTCCCCGTTCAGAGACCCTGTCGGGAAGCCTCGAGTTCAGTCCATATCTTTCGGCCAGAGAATAACAAGGTTTTGTTCACCAAATATGCTGTTCAACTGGCCATTGATCCCTTGAGATGTAATTTTGGAGTGGTATATGTCATAAACCCTGCTAAACTCTCACTATCTAAGCCTGTATGTCTCAGGGTATGCCCGGGGTCCTCCAAACTCTCAACATCTAAACAACAAAGGGTACACTAGCTGGAAAGCGCCACCCCGTGGTTGGACTTACGTTGCGAGGGGTTTGCCTTGGCCTTCCCACCCGATTGGCAGGGTACCAAATGGGCCTGGTCTGAAGAGAAACCCTAGGGAACCGGCCAAGAATTCACAGGTTTGATGCCCCAAATTGAGGGGGGGTCAAACCTCTGGTGCTTGTAGAGGGCTGATGGGAAACTACTTCCTCACCTCCAAACCACAGCTACTTGTTTTGGTGGACAAAGTTTTGCACGGCTTGGTGGATTGGTTTATCCCCAATATTTATAGAAGTCATTCGTTACAAGCCAAATACATACTGTGGATGGAAAGGCACGGAAAAAATCGAATTCGCACCGGTTGGGATGGCTGGAATCCACCCAGTCATGCACTGTAGTTCCACAAGGTCCATCCTCACCACGCCAAAACCAAACATCCAAATACAAACCAAGACATGAGTTGAAACCTGCAAGAAAAAGCGCTGGAACAAACTAGATAAACAAATCCGTACTGTGGAGATTCCTGGTTGATAAGGTTGGTCTGTCTGTGATGTAGTTGGATTCATCCGCACGTCTTGTTGACCAACTTAAGCTTGTTGACAATCCAACTCGTGGTGAACTTTGTCTTTGGCATGGCAGCCCGCTGCACAAAGCTTCAAAGGAACCAAGCCAAACAACTTGAAACAAGCAAACAAAAACAAACAAAAACAAACAAACAAACAAGCCACAAGAACAACCGACCGGTGATACTGGACGCCACCTCAACGAGCAACAGACAGGCAACCGTGGAAGCAACATGCCGTGCTGTCTCCATATCGCCGCATGGGCTGCACTATGCAAAACGCGGGAGCATCATGAGAATACGGTCAGGACGAGCCCCATGACATGGGCGAACCCTCAAACCCAGGACAAGTTGAAGAAATTGGATGCGTTCCCCCCCAACCTGTGTCCGGGGCCCATAAACCAAACAATATAAATTTAAATGCAGAGTTTGCGGTTGGCTGGATTTTAGTGGGCACACGGAGCTTCCTCATAGGAATCCAGCAACTTTTCTGGGAACCCAGGCACACCCACACTTTCTTCTGGGAAACCCTGAAACCAAAAAGCACACCAAATAAATGGGTGGTGTCGTTTGGGGTTCTCTCTTCCACCCCAAAAGGGTGCCCTCAAAAACAGACACGCCCCCGTCCAAAAGGGCTACCCTCCCAAGCCAGGCTCAATCGCCAAAGGACCCACGGGGTGGTAAGAGAAAGGAGCGCGTACCACCGAGCCCAAAGCATGCTGGAAGTCCGTGGTCCAAATCAGCTGAATGCCCAGCCTGAATGGACATGGGAGTGCCTGGGATAACACCTCCATCGGGAGTCATGCCCGGTTTTTGTGCAGTTTACTGGAGCTTTCTGGGGACCACCAAACATGCCGGTTCAAGCCTGTCTGAATCAGTTCTGTTCCAAAACACTTCCCCCCTTGCTTTCCTGTTTGGGGCGGTCTGGTTGATCATGCAACCAGGGAGGTGGCTGGCGAAAACATGCCAAGCGGCAATGCGGACAACTTTCTCACTTGCGACCAATTGGCATAACATTAGGTCAGCCTTTTGGTTGCCAAAATCATGAAGGCTTGCCCGAAGGGAACACCCCAAGGGCATTTGAGGCTGATGGTTGAACGCTTTGGGCAAGTGAGAGTAAGCACATGTTCAGTGGAATGCTAAGTATTATGGAAGTCCTCCAGTTGTATAACCTCACTTGCCCAAAGGACCCAGAAATAAAAGGTTAACCTTTTGGGGCCATGACTAAAACTAGACCAAAAAGGAGAAACCAAAAGGTCAAAAGGTCGGCTTTGGGCAACTGAGTAACTCATAGGGATCTACTCAAAGGAGGGAGCCGGATTAACATCAATTGGCTCAGGCTTTGAAACCCCACTACTGGGGACAAAAGGGGTGCTTCACCCCAATACAGTGACGGATCACCGCAACCCCTATCAGTCAACCCAAGAGAAACCAAGGAAAACCAATCAAAGGGAAACCAGGGCTTGCGAATCCTGGGTTGTTACACCGCCCGCTATATTTTCCGCCTAAGCCTCCGTTGGTCTTCGAAACGCGGCTCGTACCAACTAAGGATCGAGCGAGCGAGAGATGACCTTCGCTCGTCCTCTTCGCGGCAAGTCCGGCCGAACGCCGAACTCACCGCGGGCTAAAATCTACGTGTAAAGCAATGAGAGGAACTCAGCATGCGCCCCTCCACACAACAAGTTGATCCGTTTCATTTGGCCGTTGTCCATCACTGACTTTCGCGGAATTGCTGAACTTGTCTTCCAATTCCGCCGAAGGTCATCAAAACAGCGGGGCAATGCTGTCAAAGACGTGCTTCAGAGCTGTTTACTCCCAAACCTCCAGTGGCCATGGAAAACTAGGGGCTTGGCAAATGATCTTGAAGCCCCCCCCCCGCGCCCGCGCTAAGGACAAGCTAAACAAAAGGCGCCACTGGAGCTCTGGTTGTGTAATTTTTGGTCAGTGGGTTGCAGCGCGTATTTGTTCGGTCTGTGGGTTAAACGTGAGTCACGGATCAACACCTGGCATATTTTGGCAAACAATCAACAAGCCGGCTGTGGCTATTTCTGGCTGAAAACTGTTCCTTACTATCCTTCATCTGCCTGAGTCAAACTATTATTGGCCGAGATTCCTGGGCTACACCCCAAATAGTCTGTTCAGACTCTGCTTCCCATTTTTGCCCATCGGAGCAAACCACTGTCTTCGTGGCTCGGCTCGCGTCCTTTGCGCGAGCACGAGAAGAAAACAAAAAAACGCTCCAAGGCGGTAGTCCGGGAGCTCAGGAGCGGTAGTCCGCGTTGATCTTCACGTACTCCGTGGTCAAGTCCGAGCCCAGCACCTGGGCGGTTACTGGGCGGTTCGGTGCCAATAGGTCCGGACACCCCAAAAATGAGCATACGAACCAAAACTTGTCAATCCTCGCCCTGTGGTGTTCTTGTGGGATGTGAAGATGAAAGCAACAAGCTACGACAAAACGGGACAATGGGCCAATATGAGCTTGTCCCAGCCCTCCAGTGGCAATGGGCATCGAAGGGAGGCAACCCGCCTCAGAACAAAACCGAACAAAGGCAATGCCCCATGTTTGGGATACTATGAGGGCTAACGCATGCAACATGTGGTTGTGGGGCACTGTAAAACCAGTTTGAGAGTATGTTGAGAACCCGGCTGAATTAACACGTCCAATTAATAGGGTGCTATCCCAATCCCCACTCCCTGGAAAAACATATATCACTCCCTCAAACCCCTGGACGAAGATATATCCCCACTCCCTCCAACAATCCTGGAAGCTGATGGATGCGGTTTGAGAAGCCGATGTGTTTTTCCTTTTGTGGCTTGGCCCCAAACGTCTACTTCCATGCGTCGTCCACTTCCATGATTCTTGGACAAGGGCAATCCCGGAAAAACAAAAATGCCTGCGCCTTTTTCTGAGAGTACTCATTTGTTTGTGGATGTACAGGGAACCCCCCAAGAAAGACGAGCCAAATGGAAACCCAGCGAAGTAAATGTTGGCCAAGGCGCTACTGCCTTGCCGGAACCCCCGCCCCCCAACATCACCTCCACGTCCACGACTCGGCGATGTTGTGGATACGATGACTCGCCTCAGGCGAAGCACGAGGAATAGGGTTTCTATAGGGAGTAGAATTTGGTTATAAAAACAAACGTCGTTGTGTGTGTGTGTGTGTGTGTGTGTGTGTGTGTGTGTGTGTGTGTGTGTGTGTGTGTGTGTGTGTGTGTGTGTGTGTGTGTGTGTGTGTGTGTGTGTGTGTGTGTGTGTGTGTGTGTGTGTGTGTGTGTGTGTGTGTGTGTGTGTGTGTGTGTGTGTGTGTGTGTGTGTGTGCGTGTGTGCTTGCTTGCTTGCTTGTTTGTTTGTTTGCTTGCTTGCTTGTTTGTTTGTTTGATTGTTTGTTTTTGTATGTATGTATGTACGTACGTACGTACGTACGTATGTATGTATGTATGTTTGTACGTATGTATGTATGGTTCTTTCTTTGTTTACTTGTTTGTGTGTTTGTTTGCTTGCTTGCTTGTTTGTGCTTGTTTGTCGTTGTTTGTTTGTGTGTCTGCTTGCTTGCTTGCTTGTTTGTTTGATTGATTGATTGTTTGTTTGTTTGTTTGTTTGTCTGTTCGTTGGTTTGTTTGTTTCATTGTTTGTTCGTTGGCTTGTTGGCTTGTTGGCTTGTTTGCTGGCTTGCTTGCTTGCTTGCTTGTTTATTTGTTTGCTTGTTTGTTTGTTTGTTTGTTTGTTTGTGTGTTTCGTTTGTAAACACAACATGCTTGTTTGGTTAATCAGACTCAATGTGTGCACAACATGCGTGCGTGTGTATATATATATACAAATGAAAACCCAATGTTTGCAATTTGTAAGATGCTTTTTATATGTCCAACCTGTAAACATCACCGCTGGCGTCACCTCACATAAAGGAAGTTACGCCCAAATTGGCCCAACCGGTGATGTTCAGCCTATCCAAAAGGGACATATCAGGACCCCTGGGATGTCCGACCCACCTTTAAACAACAACGGCCATTTTGCGCCAACAAGTTGGGTCCGACACCAAACTTGGGACACTCACCAAATTAATTTGCGAAACCAGAAGCTTTAGTTAACCCCTTTCTGCTGCTCAGTGGCCCGCAGTGATGGCCCGGCAAAAGGGGGGGAGGGAGGATGCCCCTCGTTGCCGCATTTAGCGTCTTCAGGCGGGGTTCCAAACCAGAAACCGCTCTGACCCTGATGTTTTGAAGGGGCCCCCCGCGGAACCTGGCGAGGCCGAACTATATTGCCAAACTGTGGCCAGCCAATCAAAACTCACCCAAACAAGGTCTTTCAAGTTCTTCTACGCAATCCATAATTAGGGGGAACTCTGCAAATTCACGTTGGGAACCAGCAAGGATTGCGAACGATGAGCTGCATGATATATATATATATATCTATATATACGGGGAGTTTAAGGAGAAATCTGGTCCGACTTGTTGCCGGACCAAAGCCACGGCGCAATCTGCAGAAGCGAACTTGAGGTGCCCGCTCAAGCGCTTTTCCTAGGGAAAGCCAAACCTGTCTTCAAGAAGAATCCGTTTGTTTTGGGGAGAAAACATCCCCAAAAAAACAAGGTTGGAGAAAAGGACACTCATTTTCTGGGCTGGTTGATTTTGAAGAGTCCCTCCAAAGGAAACAAGGAAATTTACGACTGGAGCCCCCCAAACCAGCCCATACATGAAATTCAAATCAGTGCCCATCCTCTTGTAGTTCCCCTTTTGAGCAAATCGGACAGCTGACATTTGCGAGCCACTTACCCAAACCAGTGACCAACAGCGCCTGGAACAAAGGTTGCCCCAAAAAAAGCTGCTGCGAAGACGCGGCAAGGACCACATAAGGAGACACCACGACAAGACGTCCCTCACGCCCTTGCATCAACCATCTGTTTTGTCCCGCACCTCCCCAAGCAGTCCTTCTCAGTGTCCAGTTGGAACTGGCCCTCTGCGAAGATGGTCTCGCCCCCTGAGCCGCGAGGCTGGACTCCCAATTCGGGGAGTTCGGGAGCTTGCACTTTGGAAGCTTCCCCTTTTCGAAAGAAAACGAAACATCCCAAGTCTCTAGAAAAACATGACAAAACACATTGTTCCATTGCTTGTTTTTTGGGAAACAACAAACTATCTGGAGAAGTTCCTCACATTGGCTGGGGCTGGCTTAGATCACTTTCCCGCTGGCTTAGATCACTTTCTGGCAGTTTATATAAGATTGAAACTCCTCCGACAAATTTAAGCAGGCTCCCCGTGTCGGTATTTGGCCTGAAGGGGTGCCCGCCTCACAAAAGCTGAGCAAACTCGCTGTGAGGTTTTCGGGTGCTTGACTTTGTGGGGAAACCATCCTCTTCTGGAGGTGCTTGATCTTATAGGGACACCATCCCCCCCCCCCCAAACAACAGGTGCCAACAGGATTCAACAACAGAAATGCCCCACAGGAATCGCTTCCCGCCTATTCTGCACACGCAGCCGTCCGCCAGCGAGGCCGCGGACCCCAGTGCCTGCCCCACCTTGCCGATGAGGCGCCCCACCTCCGAAGGAGCGCGCTTGAGATGGGATGGCGCGGGGCGTTGCAACCGGGCACCTCAAGCCCGGGAAACCTTCTTCCACCAACTGCGTCTAAAACACACTTCCGGCAGTGGGACTGATGCGTCGGGGACATAACCGAGAATGTCACAAAAGGCAAGAGACGAGGACACATGGAAAGAGCAAACAAAAACAAGCACATCCCCCAACAAGAATTCTCCGCTAAGAATGAGTAAGGGCTTTGGCCATGCAAATGAAGCCTTTGGGTTTGTTTCCAAGACCAATGGCTCCTGAACTTCGATCCACCAAAGTTGACCATGACCAAACATTGACCACCAAAAGTCGATGATCACAAAAATCCGTAACCAACAAAGTTGCTTTGCGGCACGCATCCGAATCGTCCAAGGCACGTTGGGGTCATTACCCGCAATAGCGGACTTGAAGAGCGGGCCATTCGCCACCGCCTACCAAAGTCGAAACCGCGCTGCCGGAAACTCAGGCTTCCCGGGCCCGAAAAAGGGGTAACCCCACAAACGAGCTGCTTAGCAAGGAGCCGGGTCAGCTTGATGGCCATGAATCCACCCTTCCTGGGGGCAGTTCTGGATGCGCGTGAGAATGGTTATTGTCACTTGTGCCAAGATGCGTGCAGCGGTTGTGGATGCGCGTGAGCGTTTTTATTGGTACCTGTGCCAGCATGCGTGCAGCGGTTGTGGGTGCGCGTGAACGTGTTTAGTATCATGAGCGTGCTTATGTTCATTGTCATGTGTGAAGACACCGAACACCCAAACAAATGCAAACAAAAAGCATGCACGAAACAACCAGGCGCCTGGTGGCGGTGTCAGCAACTAACCTATACATGCTGAAACAGCAGCAGTTGATTACCTTTCTCACGTCATTGGGTTGTGTCTCCAAATGGGCGTGCGCCCCCAACATGGACGGCTTCCGTTTGGTTTCCCTGTGAAACAAACCCAAAAAAGGGGTTCCCAACAAAACCACACACCCATTACCATTACTAGCGCCCTCTCTTGCTCAATTCCAATTCTAAGGCAGGTTGGAATCTCTACTGTGCTGGCCCCTCTCTTGGTGGGATCTGTCACCCCCTCTAAAACCCCAATAGATGTCAACGGCCGCGGTCTTGACGTAAGTGAACAATCAAACATATTCTTGACTTTTGCCATTCGTGGTTTCCCTGTTGCAGCCGGTGCTCAGTAGGGTTTTGCGAATGAACCGGATCCGAAATCCCTTGAAAGAAAACCATGGGGGATGTGCTTTTCTCGGGATCATTCCAACTCCTTCCCTGCCCATCGAACCAAACATTGTGAGGATGGCACTTAATCTTGACCCAGGATGAATAAACCCGTCCCATTGTTAGGGGGGCGTTCCCTCCAAAAGTGATGAACTCCCCACTAAAAGGGGACACCCCCCCTATGAATCACCCAGGAATTGATCCGGGGTTCACGTTACCCACTTCCTCCAAAGACATCGTTGCAACCTGCTGGCGTCCGGCCGGGCCTTCGCCACGCTCCGGGCTGTTGGGGTGTCGCCCCCCGTCACCGCCACGCGGATCACGTGGCCCGTGCCCTCGCCGTTGCGCACCACCTGCGCCGCGAGGTCCGCGCAGACCGCCTGCAGCGCCGCCTGGAACTCCTCCTGAGTCGCAGAAGTCGCGGGAGTCGCGGAGTGAAAACCAGCTTAGGATGTTTGGGGTTTAGGGTTTAGGGTTTGGGGTTGGCTTCCCTACAACAGAAACCAGCTACAAGGTCTTGTTTGTCGCAAATGTTGGGAGACCCGCGAATTCCGGCTTTGCTCAAGGTGCCCTATGACATACATGTTCACATCGCTGGGGGCATTTGGGTTAGCTGATTCTGGGGTACATCCTTGGGTAATTGTGCAGCTGCCCAGTACGGGTAGAAAAAGACGTGGACCAAGACCTCATTCAACAAGTGGACAAAGGCTTCTACAATTACAAGCGGCTCCCTCCAAACTGAAGTCGGGTTCTCGCTCTAAAAATACGGGTCTGGAAATTGGACTGCCCTTCAAAGGGTTTCCTTTGGAACCGGCTCTGGGCTCGAAGCACGGGTCCAAAGACACGTGTTGACGTTCACGACCCGCAACAGAACGTGGCAGTAAATACCCCGGAAGAGTATAGACACAGGGAATCCACAGGAAACCAAACTACCAAAACCCCCCAACCACTGCTGTGTTGGTTGGCGTGCCAAGGGGATTTTGGGCATGGGAAAAAGCAGTGGCGTGCTGGACCAATTTCCTGCCCATGGTCCTCTAAACGTCGAAGGGAGCACCCTGTCGAAGAAAGGTCAGGTGGCTGAAACAGCCAAGACCAAGCGGTTTCCGACACCAACCAAATACGTCAATGGACTATCAACCAAAATGCCGCTGTTATGCCAAGGCTTGACTGGAAATCTCATCCTTGCAGGAATTCCAGTTGTACTGGCGGCCTGGAAGAATTTCAAAGAAACCCATCCCCTTTTGTTTCCGCTTGGGGAAGCTTAAGACAACTATGCTCTATTTACCCATCTGGGCTACATCGCTACGAACAATTGCCGACATAGTGAGCTCATACATCACAGGCGCACACCGCACAAAACAGCGCGCACACACACACACATATATACATATATATATATATACATATATATATATATAAGCACACACCCGCAAGCACTCGGACAGCCACATCACAGGAGGGCAAAGCACACATGACACCACAAAACAGCACGCAGAACCACACACACGCAGGCGCATACCGCATGCACACACACACACAAGCACACAAAACAGCCCGCACATACAACACACTCACACACAAGCACGCGCTCACACAAACCAGCACGCACACAAACCAGCACATACACACAATCACATATTACGCATACAAAAAACACACACACACACAAAAGAAAATGATAAAACAAATGCACACGCACACATGAGCGCACATCACAGGTGCACACCGCACAGGTGCACACCGCGCACGCGGTCTGCCCCCGAATCGGTGGGCTCGAATCCCAAATACCCCAAACTCCCAGCGGCATGGGAGAAAGTGCACCCCTTTTACTGGTAGTTGAGAATTGAACAAAGGACAAAAAAACAAGGTTAGCTTATTATCCTTTCAGAACAGAAAGCTCAGGTGACACGCCCCACTGTGTCCGGATCCCCCACCCTTTACTTTCCGATGGCTCCTTGGGCACGGGGCCGGCCTGGCCACTGGAAAGCAAGGCCACCTCGGATCGATCCGATCAGCCACGATCCCCGTGGATCCACAAGACATCCGCGACTAACTTAAGTAAACCAGCCATGGTATGTCAACCAACGCGTGGTGTAAGTGGTAAGTCCAACCCTGGTAACTAAAGACAGTCATACTTGCAAAGCATGGACGTGGCTACAACAAACTCGAGAATGTCGACCGAACCCCGGTGTAAGTCTCACTTGCTAAGCGGATTGGTCAAAAATACATGGGCTTGCCAAACCTCCTGAGTGTGTAACAAGCACCATACCCAACCAGGTCCAGCTAGCAAACATTTGGAGATTCCAACCAGCAACATGGATGGGACATCCACCTTTTTGGGGAAGCCGGATATGCGGATATGCTAAGTGATTGAGTTACTGATTATGCAACACTTGGGCTGTTCCTCAGATCCCCACTAAGAGTCTCACTTTCAGTGGGATAAATGGAAACCCAACCACCAAACTCTAAAAGCCAAAAGCTAAGGAATCGGATGGCAAGGAGCCACCAAGAACAACATGGCTGTGGGTCAAAAATAGGTACCCAACATGGAACCCTGGCAAATGGAAACATACCATATGGTCCTCCAAAAAAAAATGAAAAAGGTCCTCAGAAACTCGCTCGTGAGACAAGGTGCAGTGTCGCTGGTGGACTCGTCCCCGTCCACTGAGATGCAATTGAAGGTGTCTGCCACTGCCTAAGGCGAAATAATTTGAGGGCACTCTCTGCAGACCAGCGGAACGAACCCAGGAACATAGGAGAATGAACCAGCGCAATGAACCAGCGGAATGAACCCAGCTTAGATGGGTCTGTGCACTTCCACGTTGGTGAGAAAAGGAGATTGTGCTCATTTCAATGGAGGATTGCTTTGTGGGGCTCCACATTCATCAGGCGTGCGCAGTGTAGCCAAAGGTAGCTTGCGCGCATTCTACAACTTCTTCAAAGGTTGCAACTCCCCAAGGCAACTGTCGCACACTCCAAGGCCAGACGGGGGGGAGGGGGGGTTGTGGGGAGGGTCCCATCTCCAGTTGCAAAAATGGCCCCCCATTCCCGCAATTCTTTGTTTGATTGGTCTCTACGAATGAACACGTTCAGAGGTTCTCCTCTATCTCTCTCTTCCGACTAAGAAGATCTCAAAATTAGCTTTCGAGGCGATTTCCCTCACATGGTGGGTAACTTTCATGGACCGGGTGTTGCCAAATGGCCATGGGTCAAAATCCGTGAACATCCCAAACCCTACTAAAATAGACTAAAATGGGTGGTGCACCTACCTCAAAATGGTACCATTGGTTTTGACCCCCACAGCCAAATGCATGTCTTGGCGCCCATTATTCCTGTCAAGGCGGCTTTCTTGTGCTGAAGCCAATTCTGGTTGACAAATTTGGCACACCTCCTGGAGGAATTTAAGGGGGTGGTCATATTTCAACCATACATGGCATCCTTCTAGAGACTGGCAGGTCGGGTACTCCCATGTTCCCCAAAAAATCCGTAAGAGGCAGCAATCAGGACCTGTATGCCAACGTTTGGGGTGTTCACATGCGTCAAAACATGCGGATCCCAAAATAATGGGCCTTTGAAAAACGGCACCCTCAAAAACACTCACTCCAAAAAAAAGTTTATCCTTCCAAAACCTCCTACAACCTGATTAAAAGGAACCCCAACCCCCCTGCCTCGGTGAGCATCGTCTGCAGCTCCGTGCGGGGCAAATCCACGTCTGTCAGCAAGAAGCCTCTGATTTGTCAGCTGGTGACCCTACCCTCAAACCAGTTGCCTTCCTTGCGACCATGCGACCCCTGGTGCAAGAAGGACCCGCTAGTTTAACAGTTTTGAAGTTGAACACCAACAAAAACAAACATATTGGGCAACACCGGGTCCCTTCAAACATGCTCATTTTTGCCGAGGTCAATGGCGGCTTCAAGTGCAACCACCACCCCAAAGAAGTTTGGAGAACCCGGAAAATGCTGGCCTTCAGAAACCCAGTACCCCTCTCATAAGCAAATGGAAGGCAGAGAGTCGTCCGGGTGGAAGTTCCACGCGCAAGGGGGGGTGTATTTGTGTTGTCACCTTACCATAATGGCGTTATCTTAAACATGCACCCTTCTGGTACGGAATCCTCGAATCTTCCCAAACCAGGACATGACCCAACCAGATGTACATCCAGAAACATGGGGGGGGGGGGGTCAAGTTCAAACCTGATTTCGACATCATTGCGGGGAGTTTCCTTCACCTGCAAAATCTTGTATGTCTGCTGACTCTTCGGACATTCATCCTGTCAGCAAGCAGAGACCACAGGGAAACTGGAGCATGCTGAAGGTAGATATTTTTCAAAGGTGGATCTCCCCCAGCAGGTCTAATTTCAGGTGACTTCTTGGTGACTCTGGGACAGGCACCACACATGTGATGTGAGCCGGGGGTTCCGAGGTGCATGTTCGATGTAGAGGCGGTATATGCATATGGTCCGCAATAGTTCACAACACTGTCAGCCAAAAAAAAAGGGCTGCATGACACGGATGTCCAGGTGCTTTGCCCGTTTTTGCGGGGTAGTGCCAAAGCGGGGGACGCAACATAACACATGGCTGCCTTCCTGTGAGTTTCCCTTTAAGCGCCGAAATGGCTATCAACTCTTTAAACCACACACAAACACACAGACGCAAAAACAAACAGACACAGAGAACATATTAGCTGCAGTTTTAAACCTGTCATTGGAAGCCCTGATTTCCCCAGATCAGGATCCAACCCATGGCTAATAATCGCTCGATGTGGCCCTCGGTGGGCTCGCAAAAACAAAACACCGAGAAAATGACCTTTGGTTCTAAAATGGAGCCCACGAACCCCAAACCACTAGCCCCGCAGAATAACGGTTTTTTACGACCACTGTGTAGCCTGCATAGAGAGTTATACACCCTGCTGTCCCGACTTCCGGTGCAGATCCCAGCAGCAGAGCATGGTGGCCATGTTGGGCTCGATCATCCCCGCGCCCTTGGCGATGCCCACCAGCCGGCCCTGGGACAACTCACGGGCCGCCAGCTTTGGGTAGCGGTCCGTGGTCATGATGCCTCACGGGTAGCGGTCCGTGCAACCAGTGGGGGTCACTGGCGTTCCCCGTTGATCACTTTACGTGCGGTCTCCGTCGAAACTGCCACCTTCAAAAGTTGCATAACACTTTTGGGTGGTGTCTGAATTGACAATGGAAAGGAGGCTCCACACAAGGGAAATGAAGGAAACCCGGAGTAACCCTGCTAGCTGATTGCTTTTTGCTGTTATGCGAGGCATTACCCCGTTGCAACCGCTGGTGCGAGAGGTAGAACAATGATGTGGAACTCTTTCATGGGGATATGGAACCCAGCAAAATGGCACTGCTTTGGAGTCTGCTTCCCCACTGTTGCTTTCCTGAATAATTCCCTGGTCTGGTGAAAACAAGACTCTTCTGCATGGCCGAATCGCATCTGCTTAGGAGCCCCGAATGAATGCGGCAGCCAGCAAATCCCGCTTAAACTGGATGTATGAACCCTATACAGTACATCAGTCGAGGGTCTGGACCCCCATCCCCGAGGCTTCTCCAGGGCACCATGCCTTCTCAATGCTTGGAACTTCGAACCGTTCTAAAAAGCGCTATACCCAGACATGAATTTACTTGATGATTGCTTTCCCAGCTGTCCCCCCCTCACACGCAGGTTCAACGCACTCAGTATTCTTTCTCTTTTGGCGCTGTTTCACAAGCAATCTGGGCGCCTGGGACTGGAAATGGAAACCTTTTGTCTTCCCTGTGGTCAAAAACCAGCTAGGATCCCCAAGAAATCAAACAGGGGATCCGATCAGGCCGACGCAGAACCGGCTGGGGGGGGGGGGGAACCGCCCGAAAAACAGACAAAAAAATGAGAAGGCACGATATCCCGGGGAAAAGCCGATGTCCTCATTTTTGGCCATAGGCTTTTCCCAAGTGGACAGTGCCTTCTCAACTTTTACTTGTTTTAGAAAAATAAAAATGAAAAAATGAGCGAAGCACGCAGACAGAGGTTGAGGGAGCACGCATATTCGGAGAAGGCCCGCAAAACCGGAGAAGGCCCGCAAAATCCGGAGAAGGCCCGCAAAATCCGGAGAAGGCCCGGAAAAAAATCTGAGTCTGTTTTGTTTGGCGATGTGCGACGTGCAAATGCGCCTCCGCGGCTGCTGGGGATGCCTGTGCTGCTGCTGATGCTGGTGATGCCTTTGATGCTGGTGATGCCTCTGAACTGGTGATGCGGAAAAGTATCTAGCCAGAGCCAAGGCTGACAAACAAACATGCCAGCCCTTGAGAAGGCACGCGTATCTGGGGGCCGCAAAATCCAGAGGACGCGTGTCCAGACTTTCGAATAAGCCAAATAAGAGGCTCGATGATCTCTTGGGGCACCGCCAAGGGCACGGAGCCATTTCCGGTATATGGCCAGGGGAAGAATGTTGCGTCATAACCATGCAAAAGCAAAACGGGGGAAAAAAAACACAAAACAAACGAACAAACAAACAACCAACTCAACAAAAACGACAGCAATGAAAACAAGGGCAATAAACGTACATCCTTCAAACAACACATCAACCAGCAGTCAACAAACAAAACAACAAACGCAACAAACAACCAAACAAACATGCCAACCAACAACAAACACACAAAACCACACCAACCCACAAAAAAAAACGACAAAAAACAAGACGACAACACAGCCAACACACCACAAACAACTGCGTACCCCCTATTTGGTGGTCTTATAAAGTGCGTGGTTTGGAGATCAAGAGGTGGTGTCCCATTTACTCTCTACAAAGACCAGGGGTCCAAACTTCTAAACCACCAATCCAAACCACCACTTGAGGGCATACCTGAACTTTGATGCCAATGGTGCCTACGAAAAGAAAGACCCTTGGCAATGCAAACAAACAAACAGGAGCAAAACATATGCAGGAATCCTGGACTCCCACATATTTTCTTGCTGCAACTATAAATACATTTATAGATATATACATAATATGTATCTTCTTCATTAAAAACAAAAACCAAAAACGAGCGGCCCTTCGCCGCCGGCACCGCGCTGCCGGTGGCCAGATCTTCGGCTTGAGGCAAAGCCGCCACCATCTCCTCGAGGCACGAGGCTGTTTTCTCTCCTTCGCTCTTCCTCTCGTTCCCTTTCTCTGTTTCATTGTTTCTGTGCAGTTTTTGACTAGACTTCCAGAAGCTGATGGGAGGGGTTGCGAAGACTCCAGTCCTCTTGGAAAGGCCTCCTTGTAGTTGTTTGGACACGCTATCAGAGAGGCAGGCCCTTTTCGAGGAGACATCCCCAGCGCCATGGCCCACACAAGGCCAAGCTTCCTCTCGTTCCCTTTCTCTGTTTCGTTGTAGTTTTTTGACTGCCCTCTTTCCAACAAACGTGGAAGCTGAGGATCGGAGGGTTTGCGGATGGTTTTCGAAGACTACAGTGCTCTTGGAAAGGCCTCCTTCCCACTTCCGTGAATGTTCGAAAGAGGGCAAACGGCTCAATAGTTTCGATCATGCCCATATTTGTTCAACCTTGCCTTCTACAATGTTTTCAGAGGAGACCCCAGGACTGTGGTGAATTTCCTTCTATATGGTACCCTCATTCCTTGCAGATCTGTAAAATCATAGCAGACACTCAAGGTCCATTCTTGCACAACCATGGTCAGCGTGGACATGGGCGCATGGTAGCGTTGGTAGTTGATCCCCATCCTTAGCATTTGCTGTTTCTGGGGTACGGCAACAGGGGTACGCTCTGTGAGGATGTCAAGTGAGTTTCCTTTCTGGTCCCGCCTATTTTGACCCTTCTTGCATTGGCAAAAACCGACATTTGGGATTACCCCTTTTCCAACAATGGAAAGTGGACATGGGACTTTCCCAAAAGAAAAGCATTCGTCTTCCAGAACCCTCCGAGCGTAAGCTTCCGCTTTGTTGGATGAGATTTGGGGGGTTGTCTCGCTTCTCTTGAGTGGGTGGGCAAAACCAGGTGCAAACTTTACGATTGACTCTAAAATGGTCTTCGCAAAAAACACGTCCAAAGTTTAGTCCAAGTGCGAACCTGAGGTATGAACACATCTCCGGGTATATACACGGATTCGGGAACGGACGCATCCTCCTTCCAGTCATGGAAGTGGGGGGCTTCGGGGTGCGAACAACCGGAAAGCTTCCATCTTCCAACCCTCCAGTCGGCTGCCATTGTTGAAACTACCCTTTGGGGTACGCTTTTGGAGGGAAACCAGCACCTGTTTTGGAGCTCCGACTCCCCACTTTGAGCCAAACCCAAGCAGAGCTCCGCCGAAAACTCTCAGCCTCTCGCCTTCACCGGCAGGCGCCAGCCGATGACCCCGGTGGAGCTGGGAAGCACCAGCTCAGCGCTCTCCAGGCTCAGCTGTTTCCTCGCCCCCGCAGAGTGGAGGGAAGCCAGCAACCAGCCCTTAACCACCCACCAGCCCATGGGGAACAAGGGGTGAACTCTGCACAGGTAGTTCCACCCAAAAAGGGTGAGAAACTCTGCACTGAGACATTTCTGCACATAGTTTGCTGCTGCATCATTGAATCGTGAGCCTGGAAAATGTTTGCGTCTAGATGTTCGGCACGTCCTGAGGAGGCCAAGTAATGTACATTCCGCATGGATTAAATCCCTCGCTGTGACCCTGAGCTTGCTCCCCCACGGGCCCTCAATTGGACCCTTTGCCCTTCTTTTTTCATCGCCTACGTCTGCCAGCAACAGGTAGGGGCCATTTCAGGGAGAAATGCAATATTCATGAGATAACTGATGAAAAACTGAATACGCTACGTCTTTGCAGCAATCAAATTGTCACATACAACAAACACATGCTCCCCAAGTGTAGTGGCCAACAAGTCCAAACTCTTTCCTTGCCACTAAAACGGCCTTCCCAAACATGTTGTCAAGTCCAAACATCTCGCAAAGTGAGCCGACCGTTATCCACCAAACGTTGAGAGACTGGGTGTCAATCCAATAAAACCTATGGCCCCGTTTTGGTTTCCCTTGTAAAAGGCGGCACATACTGGCGGCTCCGAAGCGGATCCTCCAATAACCGTGTGTTTTGACAACTTCTCGAGTCACCATTGGGCAAAGAAAGGCCTACGGTAAACCAACACACCTACGAAGCCACTGGGCGCAAAACCCAACCGCTGGGTGTAAAACCAACAAAACCAACACCCATGCTACCATGTTCTTACAGAATGTTGGTAGCTCCTTAGCTCCCCTGTTTACAGGCAAAGTTGAATACCCGCCGCTCCTTGGCTCTGTTCCAACCACCGGCCAACCAAACAAAAACAACCAGACTGGGAGACAAAGGTCGATCTGTTGGAACCGAGTGTCGCCAGCTCTGCGCAAAGGGTCTCGCTGGCTGATACGCCCCCGTCGGAGTCCGGGGGCGACACGTTGCTGATCCTGGGCACGCTCGGAACACATGGAAAAGGCTTCCACATACAGCATAGGTAGCCAGGAAGGTAGGTAGGTATGTCCGCCAAAGCATAGGAAAGCAAACTGAACCCAGCAAGCGAAGCAAGAGGAAAACCACCAAAAACGTGCCACGGGCCAAGGCGGCCAAGGGTCTTGTTGTTAATGACCACGGCCTGCAGTTTGCCGCTTTCCGCCATCCGCCTTCGTCCCACACGGACCGGGGCCCCAGGGAAGGCGTTACTCGTGAAGACCGCAGCCACACGATCCGTGGGCTCCTCCAACGAGATCACCGTGAGGCGCATAGGCAGCTCGCCCATCTCCTGCGCCTCCTTTGCCGTTGGGCCAGAAAACCCTTCGGCCCCCGAACCAGCAAACCAAACCAATTGAGGGCAAGCTGCACATGGCCGGCTTGTTTTGTTCAAAAGGGAAAGCAGCTCGAAAAAGGGCAACTAGTGAGTTTCCCGCGCCTGCTGCGAAAATGGGAAAAGGCCAAGCAAGGGTTCGGGGGTTTATGGTGGGTTTTGGGTTTTCGGTGGGTCTTGGGCTGGCTTCCCCTCAGTATCCGCAGTCCCTTGACTGTCTGCAAACGGCGCTGGTAGGCTCAAGGTTCCCTACATGGGCGTGTTTCAAAGGCGAACCCACGCAACACGAGGGCGCTCCTTCCAAAAAACAACTCTAAAAGTGGGTTGCTCTGCCTTACATATCATATTCAGACCCTTCGGTGAACATCTAGGATTTTTATGTCCACGTCATGTTTGAGGGTGTTCCCCGCTGTATGCTTGTGTCCTCGAGATGGACTTGGGACCCCGCAAGTGAACATGCTTTGATTTCCCTTCGCTACCTTCCAACAAACGCAACTACTTCATCGAAAATGACATGCCCCAATGGAGTACTAGGGTCCCCCAGTACCCTCGGCATTCTTCTCTCAACTGGGCAAACAACCAAAAACAACTCGCGCTCCTCGGGTACGAACTTCAAGCTCTGGGTGGCGATTTTGAAGCCTAAAGGCAGCTCCGCCTGGGCCTCCCGGATTGAAGGCGTGGGTGTTGGGACCCCCTTTTGGTTGGGTTTGAAAAGGAATCAGGAAACCCGATTAAATAATAATAATTAAAAAAAAAAAAAAACACCCACAAAAAACCTTTTTGGGGGGGTCCCCTGAAAAAGACACTCACAAATATTTGATCAACATGCTCAATATGTCCCAGACCATTGATTCAAAGAAAAAGCCACAGCCAACTTTGGTATCCAAGCAATTTTAGGGGCAGGGTAATTACTTGGCCAGTAGGTAGTTGCCATGGATCTGGCTTAATGGGACTTACAACCGTGGTATGCGGGCTATAACACCGAAGATTTCCATGAAGCTCGTTCCTTCTGATCGCTCCGCTCCCTTGGAGCCTCTTTGGGCAGACATCATCATGATCATCATGATCATCATCAACCAACCAACCAACCAACCAACCAACCAACCAACCAACCAACCAACCAACCAACCAACCAACCAACCAACCAACCAACCAATCAATCAATCAATCAATCAATCAATCAATCAATCAATCAATCAATCAATCAATCAAAGGAATCAAGCAATCAAGCAAGCAAGAACGCAAGCAAGCAATCAATCCATCCATCAATCCATCAAGCAAGCAATCCATCCATCCAATCAAGCAATCCATCCATCCATCAATCAAGCAATCAAGCAATCAAGCAATCCATCCATCAAGCAAGCAATCAAACAAGCAATCAATCAATCAAAATCCATGCATGATTCTGGCGGGGCAGGGGCAGGTTCTTTCTCTTGTGGCATTTCGTATGCTGCGGCTTTTAGATTTGCTATTGCTTGCCGCAAGGTTCAGGAGTGTCGGCCAAAGCTTAAGTACCTCGAAGACTTCGACCGGGAGCCTTCGTAGGACTCGGATTTTCAAGGATTTCTGAAAAGCATGCTCATTTGCTTTCTCCTTTTCATTTGCGTTTTCGCCCCCGATAAATAAATCAAGCAAATCCAGTAGTGATGGACTCCCTTTAACACCAGGGAACATAACAAAAATACAATCTTAAGCAATTGGAAGCTTTGAGGCCTCCTTTTGGACGTCATTTGTTCAGTCCCTTTTCTTCTCCACTTTTTGTCAAAAACGGAGAGGCGGACCCGAGGACCTGTGGGGTAACCATCAAAAAACAGCTCGCCCATGAGCGACCTGGATCAGACCACGGGGGGCAATTTCGGAACATTCCAAGGAGCCTGAGCTTTGAAGCCTTGTAAACGTTGTTGTTCAAAAGGTTTAGCAAAAGCTTCACCTTGTGACGGATTGGCATATGGAAAAGAAGTTGCGATCAACAACTGGGGGTTGATCAATATTCCTGTGGGAATTATCCGGGTTTTGATCAACCCCCAAATCAAACTCTCCTAAACCCCGCGCACCTCGAGGGAGGCTAAGTACTCCTCCTCGCTGCTGAAGCTACGCTCGTCCTGCTGACCTGTGCGCTTCGGGTAGTGTATGCAAGCTAACCAAACGGCACCACACAAGCACGCGATAACTCTTTTATCCGAGCAATGTGTTGGTGCCAGGGACTCATCTTCCCCTGTCAGATGTCAACGGCTGGGTGGGCCCCATGGGCCACCCACCTCAAACTCTCAAAAACTGAAGAACGGGTGTGCAGACTGATAGCGCCCGCCCCTGAGCCGGGGCCCGTGGCACCCAGGCCACAGGGGGGTCTGCCACCAGGGGAAGTGAGTCACCCACCGGCTCCGGTCACGGGAGCATGGGTGGGCCCACGCTAAGATCAAATGCATCTCCATTCAGGAGACGCGGGAGAAAAACGAACTCCTCGCAGAGTTCCTGTTTGGGGACCCTGTTCAAAGGGTCGAACCCAGAGAAATCTGGGTGCGTCAGTTCATCAGCCCACTGGTTGAATTCCCGGGGCACGTGGTTGGCCGCCAGCGAGCAGCCATGGGTGTGGAGCAGGAAGACCAGCTCCATCAGGGTAGCCGCGGTGTAGGGCTTCTTGGATCCAAGGTTGAGCATAGGCATGACGTTGCCCTGATTGTCACTGCCCACCGGGAGTCGGACCCGGGAGGACAGAGGGCCTTGGTGCGTGAGGATCATGTTACAGAGGAAGAGCGTGCCCAGCATTTCCAAAGCCGCAATCCTCCGCTTGGGATCCCCATTCTTGAATGCCCAAGGATACTCCTCCACGTGGATCTGCTCGTGGAACCAGTACACCTCCTTCTTTTCCGGCTCCATTTTGTTGGAGCACCATCCTCCCACAAATGCCAGTCCTTCGTCCGAGGCGCTAGCATCGCTGCAACCCCACCAAGAGGACTTCGGCAAGTAAGGTGTCAAGAGACGGCAAGGTGACGTCCCGTGGGACGCTATGCACCGAACCCTCAAGCTGTAATACCAACCACGTAGAAAGGTGTATACGGACGATGCCGTTATAGCCGAACCCGTGTAAACGTTGTAAGGGAGAAGGAATGATAGTTACAACAGTGGTCCTGACAAATGCAGCGCAAGCAAAGTGTTTTCGCTCTCAATGCCGATCACGTATGTATGCAGTCACACATCAGATCTTGAACCTCAATTGTGTCTTGAGCCAAATGGCGATCAATGGAACTTGGGAAGCAACACCAACAAGGACCTCAGAACAGCTACCCAATTTCGGCACGGGGCCTAGAGGGTTTTAACATCCCCCATTTGGGTCGCATTGTTCATCATGCGGTCCAAACACCACAAAACGTTCCACTGGCCACGGCTTCAACTACGAAATCGTGTCGTGCATTCTTTTACTTGCTATCACTACACCGTTCATTCGCTGTGAAACATGCCGGGTTCGATTGTACGAAAAGTGAAACATTCATCCTCCAATCGAAGCACACATCCATATGCAGGTGTATATAATACACAATCGTCACGTCATTTGACCACCAACGAACAATCCAGCTGCCGCATTTGCGCATCGCGCAGCTGTCATCCATAAATGGGTTGGCCGCAAAAGTCCACCAGAGGCGCCTGCTTGTAATCGGTCTGCATATTTCCGGCAAAGAAACATCGGTGAGTAATCAATGCAAATCATAGCCATTCCAGATACCATGGACAATGCATAAATAATGAAAAGATATCATCTATAAGGTAATAGTTCCATCCATGAATATCCAGAGCGTCATAGTCATCGGAATATGTAACCATGTACACACCCAATCATCTTGGACACATGAATATAAATCATGACATAAGTCGTTCCACCGAAACAGTGTCGATGTGACGCAAGTAACAGATGGGGACTGACCCACATCGTACCGCAATCAGCATCTTCACGAAGCATACCTGTCCCCAATGGACAGCCTATGGGTACGTCGGCGGAACTCCTCGTCCAAGTTCTTCTGGGCTTCTCGTGCCCGGACACACTTCTTGTTGTAGTCCTCTGGCAACCAGTGCCCTTTCCGAAGGCACCAATCCAGCAGGGGTGTGTCGCATTTGTTCGGGTCGATGGCCGAGATGATGGCGCTCACGTTGACCGTGTAACCATGCTTGCCAAGGTTTAGGCCATCCCTCACGAATGATATATACTTACAGTTGAAAGCTAGTGCAAAACATCTGAAAATAATATCACCCACCGGGTGCACTCGGTCCTTGACCAGGAGCTTCATTTCTTCCTTGGTGACATCGAGGATTCTCGCTGCAATCCACAGCTTGTAGAATGTGTAAAGTCCCTCGCATTTGCACACCATCATACGAATATAATCTTCACGCTCCTCAACCGATCGGAAGGATCTCGACCGAACATTCTCCGACTGAGAAATTTTCTTCGCTGTTGATGGTAAGAGTATACCTTCCTGATCCTGATCGGTGATGTTGGGGTACCTCTTGAAGTCATTGTGATAAGGGCAGCCCGGCCTCCCTTCGAGTCCGGCATTCATCGTTCTCTCCTCACCACCTTCAAACATCCCCCACATCTTGGACAGCTGGAGTGCGATAAATCCTGCCATGTACTGAGCCTCACGCGGCTCGTCAAGGCAGATCGCCATCCGTTGGGAACTTATAATGTCCCGTGACGCCAGATCGGTGTCGCGGTAATGCCAACCGCTGTCTTCTTCTTCTGACGCATAGCCGGATGTATATCCTTGCGTGTCCATGTCGTCATCTTCTCCCGGAACTTCCTCCGCTTCGTCTTCATCCTCCTGTGCTGCCGCATCGTGGTTAGCTTCTTCCTGTGCACGCCTGGCATCTCCAGAGACGTTGGGGTTTTGGTTGTCCTCCTCGTCATCGGATTTGATGTGAATGTAGTATCTTCCGATGGAGATCAGTTGTGCCTCGCACTCCAGGCATAAGCAGAAGCAGGTGGGGATCGCGGTCGCACATGATGGACATATCCGGCACCTCAGTCCTTCCCATGTCTCATCATTCAGGATGACGACTTTGCTGATTTCGTCCCGGACCTCGTTGACCTGTGCGTTGAACTCTTCCATCTTGTTGATTCGATAGAGTTCGCAGGCACGATTAACCATGTCAACGATGTAGTGCAGATTATCGGCACCTGTCTCAGTCTCCGGCATCCTCTCGCTGATCTTTGTGACGTTCTGGAGGAACATCGCTGCCGACTCTTGGGATGAGTTGACAAAGCCAGGGCAGATCTCGTTCTCCACACACTTCGAGTACGCCCTCTTGATGTCAGCGTACTCCAGGCGCTTCCCTCCGTTGCTTTTGCCAATCCAAATGGACTTGACCTCATAGAACGGGATCACGTCGAAGACCATGAAAGTCCCATTAGCCGCGACTCCAGCTCCATACCGCGCGAGGGTTGCACTGGGAATGTAGATGATCGCAATCGGATCCCCTCTCCTCACGTTCCGCAGCGTCGTCTTCGTCGCCACGTTCATCTCATCCCATGGAGCAAACGCCCCGAAGTGCAGTGCTAGCCTGTTGCCGCCATCGATTCCGCCGGGGACTAACCCACAGCGTACGATGCTTGGCAGGTTTTCCACATACGTCACATGGAATGCTCCTCCGAGAGAATCACCCATTCTTGCGGAATACCTATTCGCCAGTGCGGATGAGCTCATGAATCCAAAATCACTGTGACCGGTTGTGACTCGGATGCACCAAGGTCTGTACCATCCATCGCATCTGTTGAACATCCTGTCGATGTCGTCCCGATCCACGCCAGCTTGGTCATTTCCTCCCTGGCTGCCCTCGTGTCGTTCGGGTTCATGATGCTCGGAAACCTTGCTGCCAGAACCTGAAATCTCGATTTCTTGTCCGGATTCCTGCCACTTGATCACCTCCATGATGCCCATGTATCGTTTCGCTCTCGAGGTGTTAGGTGGGAATATGTCGTTGTTTCGGTCGTCAATGACAGCATCAATGTCGACCCATCCACCCTCGTCGCACCTGAAAGCACTTCCTCGGCAATTGCCGATCTTGTGTCGAAGGACTCTGCATAGGTCGTGAGATAGCTGGTTTGCTTGGTCCCTTGTAGTAAATACCGAGCGATCATCACCAATCCTGCATAGTGGAGCACCGTCGAAAGGAGCAATGCAGAAGTTGACACTCTTGCCAAGTTGCATCACGTCCACTTGCTCAAGGATTGCACCTTTGGGAAAGTATTTGGGGTCAACGATGGACGCATACGCCCATGGCAAGTGCACATCACTCACATCGCCATACTTCGGGATGTAGCACGGGATGGTGTCGCATCCCATCTCAAGCGTCTTCTTGAATGTCCTGCTGTCCCCGCACGGGTTGTAGGTGAGGTCGACGCCACCACATTGTAGCTCTCCTCCCTCAGCCGTGTCAGCCATCTCCACCAAGTTAATGGTGTAGCTGTACATCTCAATTGTTTCTTTCCCTGCTTGTCCTCCTTTCTTTCTTTCCTTGGACGTTGATGAGGACGGTTCCTCCGTATCCCCCATGTCTTCATCAGATGAAACAGGGTCACTGCTGAGTAGCTCACGGAGCACCTTCATCGCCTTCTCATTTCCAGCAGCCTCCTCAATGTCCTTGCAGTCGCCGTCGTGGGCCAGGTTCGCGCACTTCTTACAGATCCCCATATCTCCCATGCACTTCTCCATTGACTCCAGGAATCCTAGTGCCGCTCTCCGCCCGTCGATCACTCGCTGCTTCTTGTCTTCCTTCTCAGCATTGGCTGAGAACTTCGACTCGGGTCTGGTGCTTGACCAAGACCCTCATCTTCGCCCTCCGTGGCCTTTCTCTTGGAACCTTGTGCAGAGGGCTCGGTGATCAGGGATCGTGGATGTCTGGGCTTGACCTTGTTCATGATGTCAAGCACCTCCTTCGTGGGCACGCCGAGCTGTGCGGACGGTCTGTTCCGCTTTCTGTTCTGGCCCGTCGTGTGGGTCACGTTCCCAGCGAGGTGTCGCACTATTGACTGCTCGAACTCCCTCTTGATCTTCCATGCATCCTTCCACAGTGGCAGTTCGTGCTGGAAGTACGACATCACCTCAAAGAATCCCAACACCATCT